CGCGAGCAGAGGAGGTATATTCATCTTTGGTGATCTCTCCCTGTTTCCACTTTTTATGTGCTCCCCTTTTGGCCCTTAGGCTGCCCTGGATTTCTACGGTCAGCCAGGGAAGCCTCCTGGCCCCTTTCCCTCTTTTACCCTGCATGGGGATTGTCTCGCTTTGTGCCCGAAGAATCGTTTCCTTAAGGCACAGCCACCCTTCTTGGGCTCCCATCATTTCAAAACTCCTACTCTGCAGTGCGTCCTTGACTAATCACCTGAGTTCATTTAAATCAGCTTTCCTAAAGTCTAGCACTTTCACCCTACTAGTTACCTTACCCACTCGACGCCTTATGGTGAATTCTATTATTAGGTGATCACTGTCCCCCAGATGGCTACCAGTCTGTAGGTCCCCTACCATGTCATCCCCCGTTGCCAATACCAGATCCAGTATGGCATTCCCCCTAGTGGGACCATGTACCTCCTGTGTCAGGTGGAGGTCTTGTCTGTAGCAGACCCCTACCACCAAATCCCTTTCTCCTTGCCCCCCATGTAGCCTAACCCACAATCCTTCTACTTCCTCATCCTTGGATTCCGTCTTGATGAGGTTTGACGTTTATTGCTCATTGACATAGAGCGCAACCCCTCCCCCTTTTTTCCCCACCCTCTCCCAGGTCACCATCACAGCCTACATACTGCATAACATCTGTGAGGCCTGGGGGGGGGGGTGTGGGAGGGAGCTCTTCCACGAGGCCTGGGCAGAGGAGGCACAGCGGGTGAAAGATGCCTGGTAATGGGAACACCACCTGCAGTGGCAGAAGTAGTGGTGGCCACCCCGCACTGAGGCCCCAGGAGTGCTGCAGACCTGCCAGTGAGGGCTAGGGCACTGGGTGTGGGAGGCACTGGCCATGTGGCATTGCGATGCCAGGCAGTGGTGGTGGGGTGCAGACAGGTTGGGGCAGCTGGTCTGTGGCCTGCCTAGGGGAACACAGGGCCTAGAATTTCCCCAGGCTGCCTGCTGATGTGCCCCAGGGCTAAAAATGCCTGCAGGCTTTTAAAGGCCTGAGTCAGGAGCTGCCATAGAGGCAGCCCAGCCCTGCCTGGAGCAGGAGAGGCACCTAGCCCGAAGCCCTGGGGCTAACCTCAGGCTAGTTGCAGTTTGCATCTACACATGCATTACTGCACAGTAACTAATCATGAGTAAATTTGATACCTGCATTTGCAGATCAAATTTATTCACAATTAGGGGTTTTTACTGCACAGTAAGCATGCACATGTGTAAATGTGTGCTTACTGTGCAGTAAACTAGGCTACTGAGTAGTTAAGCATCTCATGTAGACGCACCCAGTAAGTGTCTGCACGTGTAGACAGTGATGCTTACAGTGCAGTAATTTGCTCTAATCTTGAGTAAAGCATCTCAGGTAGATGAGCCCTTTAAGTCCACCACTTCAGCCAGTTTTCCTTCCATACAGTTCCTTCACCCAACCCATACTTCCTTAGTTTGCTTGTGAGAATGTTGCTGGAGACCATATCTAAATCTTTGCTAACGTCAGGGTATATCACATCCACTGCTCTCCCTGCATTCACAGAGCCAGTCATCTCACCATAAAAGGTAATCAGTTTAGTCAGGCATAACTTGCCTTTGGTGAGTCCACACTGACTGTTCCTAATCACGTTCTTCTCCTCCAAGTAAGTACCTAGAAATGGATTCCTTTAAGACCCACTCAATGATTTTTTTCAGGGATTAAGGAGAGGCTGACTGGTCTGTAGTTCCCCGGATCCTCTTTCTTCACTTTCTTAAAAATGGGCAGTATATTTTTCAACCATCCAGGACCCCTCCTAATCAACATGAGTTTTCAAAGATACTGGCCAGCAGCTCTACAGTCACATCAGCCAACTGCCTCAACACCGTCAGGTGCATCATGTCCGGCCCCATGGACTTGTACACATCCAACTTTACTAAAGAGTCCCTAACCTGATGATGAACTATACTATGTGAACTGCTAAGTAATTTTAAGTCCAAGTGTATGTGGCTGGGCTGATTTATCTACACTGTGATTTCACTTTAAAATCTACTGAGCCTACAATCGTCTGTGGTAGAGCTCTGGACAGCCAAGTAGAAGACCCATACTTAATTCCCAATCATGACCTCTCCCTGCATCAACAAGTGGTGAGAATGAGTATGCTGTGGAGGAAATGCTTGAAGAGCATGTCAAGAGTTGTCCTTGGCATCTGATTCCACTGAAGGAGGCATTCATATATAGTCCAATCAAGTTTCCTTCTTTCTCAGAAGTGGGATGTTTCAGATGCAAGAGAGTAGGAAATATGGTTACGTTTCCCAATATATCTTATTTTTCTCCACACTGAAGGAAATGGTGTTGCACCAATGCACTGGACATCAGAGATTGTCCTTACCTTGTCCTGTGAATATGCATGGTCGCTATTATTTATAAAGGGATTTAGCAAAAATAATTTATTTTTTAAAGGACGTTCATGGCTACATTTGTATTCAGGACAATGTAAGTAGCCCTTGATGAAGTAGTGTAATATTCATGTGCTGTTTTACAACAAGCTGTACAGTCTGTATTTTGTTTTCTATTTTAGTTTCAGGCTGCTGCTATTGACCATCACAGCTACAACCAAAATACAGCTACTGACCATGGTCTATAAGTGCCTTCCACATAAAACCATTATCAGTAGTAGGGCCCCTTAACAGATTTTCCAGTCCCTGGCACTTTTTCCCTTCTTTGGATCAACAGTCTGTATGGGTTAGATTTTTAAAAACATTTTGACAGGTAAAATTTTCTGGTTTGTGTAAACTCATGAAATTCCCATGAATTATAAAAACACACAAAAAAACCCCCTTTTCTCTTTTTGCAAGTAAACATCCCACACTTGTATCCAGGCAGGCAGGAAAATCCAGTGGTCAGTCTCCTATCCTGGGTATCAGGAAAGGTGGAGTAAATGTGATTCTTCTATTTTCTTTTTTGCTACCACTCTGTTGTGTGGCCTTGGATGTATCACTTCATCTCTTTGTGCCTCTGTTCTCCCTCCTGGCTTTTGTACGCCTTCCCTATTTAGCTCAGTGAGGCAAGAACCATCTTTTTATGTATTTGTACAGTATGTAGCATAATGGGGGATCAATCATTGTTAGGAAAGGATGGAGAAGATAATGACCCACTTATGATAGATATAAGTCACGTCACTGGTGGAATGCGCTCAGATATAATGGAGTTGAGGGCAATGTAAAATCTATTCAGGATGATATAGGATAGGTGTTACTGCCATATAAATAATAATATGCCAATATTTTTGTAGGGTCTGGTATATGTAGTCTTTGAAGACGCACTTAGCATGACCTTGGTTTCTGATGGAGCTGAGTGCATTGTGGTATCAAAGGAGTTCTTCAAGAAGCACATGAATGAAGACTATCGCCAAAAATTATGCACATCTGTAAGTCTTGTTAATCTAGAGCTTCTTGCATTGAGACCACAGCAATTATCTAGAAATGTTACAGGTTACCCTGGGGTAATTCAGATACTTTCAAACATCAGAGTGCTTGCTGAACCATGCTCACTGCAGATGTTTGGTTATGAAGTCTTATCCTTCTGTGTCAAGCCATTTTCCTTGCTGAGCTGTAACTATAGACCCAGAATACAAGTTCTGTAAAACAGTGCATCTAGAAATGATGGGCAAGGGCTTATAGAAACAATCTGTTTGTGCTGGCCAGTGGTACAGACTCCCTGACACAGTACTGGTATTTTTTAGCATTGTATATAATAAGGCAGTTGTCATGCAGGTAAAGTAAAAATGTCTGCAGTTAGAAGGGGTCATTGTGCTTGTATATTAGGTCATAAAATAGGAACAAAACCCTTTTAGCACAGGAACATAAAATATTGTGACTTGAAAGCAACCAAGATTGCTTGGATTCCAGGAGTAAGTTATTCCTTTAGAGGGAGTTTAAAAAAAAATATAAAAAAAGACTTGCTATACACACATGACATAGGGCACACCATTTCTGATATCCTTGTGTTTTCAGCGATGGACATCACAAATTACTGGCTACTGGAGATTTATCTCCCTCAGACACATGTACAAGGTGCACATTTTCTTCCTGGATAGCATAGTGTATGGCCCTGTTCTGTCTTTACAATATACATACTGTGAAGGGACCGCAGAGGTAGAGTAGGATTCAGGGAAGTGGGGATACACAATATGCAAAGCCCTGCTGCATATACCCACCCTGCTGCTCTGACAGGCTGCTATGAAGTCGCAGAGCCACTAGAGGGCCCACAAACTATTTAGATTATAAATTTTAGATCAGTCAGAGCTGGGGAAGGGACCTTCTGGATCATCTTGCCCAGTACAAGTCTTTCACCGGCATACAGCCATATAGTTGTGTTCTTAAGTGGATCAAGCTGAAGCTTAAAGCTAGTTAGGACTCTTGTCCCCATTTCTCATAGTGGTAGGCTCACTCTTTTGAGGAGTTAGAAACCTCCGTCATATTTCCAGTATAAATGTTGTTCATAGACAGTTATTCTTGGGCCAGCTTGAACAGGAACCTCAAGAATATCAGAGCTGACAATATCCACTCAGACCTCCCAGAAAGATCAGATAATACGATCACGATCAGATAATAACACAACGCTTATCCCATAATCACAAATATCTGTGATAATTTCCCTCACTGAAGTTTTTCTTCCCTCACAACAGACATATTTGAAGAGAGGATGAACTTATGCTTATACACTATAGTACAGAAAAGAAGAAAAGAGCCACACCTTTTTTAAAGAAAGTTTTAAAAGATATCCTCAGAGGGATGAGAATATTTAGAATCGTTCTTTCCAGTGTGTGGTTTCAGGCACTGCTGTTCATGAAATCAGGTAGGATGTAGGATACCTATTTACAGTGTGCTGTGCGAAGTAGCTATTGCAGTGTTGAACCTCATAGGATCATAGGGAAGTAGGGCTGGAAGGGACCTCACAAGGTCACATCCTGTCCAGCCCCATGCTCAAGGCAGGAGCATTCCTGATTAAACCATCCCAGCCAAGTGTCTGACTTACCTGCTCTTGAAATTTTGAAGCATGGAGAATCCACATCTCTGGCTAGCCTATTCCAATGCTGGACCACCTTTGTAGTCAGAAAGTTCCTGCCATCTCCATCCTCTCTATAATCGCTCTTCAGGTATTTGAAGACTTATCAAATCCCCCCCTCAGTCTTCACTTCTCCATGCTAAATAACCCTAGTTCTTTCAGCCTTTCTTCATAAATCTTGCCTCCCAGATCCTTGATCATTTTGCCTTCTGGAAAAAAAGTATATTGTCATAAATCTGACTAAACATTTTCCAATAATAACTAAAATAATTAGAAAGAGAGAACACTCCTTTGGATGGATTTGCTCATTTAGAATTGCGGGGGGGAAAAGATGTTCCAGTTGCTCGACTCTCAAGAAAAGAATCTGTCTGTTCTCTTCCACTGAGGTATTTGCAACCGAGAAA